AGGAGCTTGCAGAGGAGTTATGAGGGAGGAGTGAGGAGCTTCCAGAGGAGTTATGAGGGAGGAGTGAGAAGCTTCCAGAGGAGTTATGAGGGAGGACTGAGGAGCTTTTAGAGGAGTTATGAGGGAGGAGTGAGAAGCTTCCAGAGGAGTTATGAGGGAGGAGTGGGGAGCTTCCAGAGGAGTTATGAGGGAGGAGTGGGGAGCTTCCAGAGGAGTTATGAGGGAGGAGTGGGGAGCTTTTAGAGGAGTTATGAGGGAGGAGTGGGGAGCTTCCAGAGGAGTTATGAGGGAGGAGTGAGAAGCTTCCAGAGGAGTTATGAGGGAGGAGTGGGGAGCTTTTAGAGGAGTTATGAGGGAGGAGTGGGGAGCTTTTAGAGGAGTTATGAGGGAGGAGTGGGGAGCTTCCAGAGGAGTTATGAGGGAGGAGTGGGGAGCTTTTAGAGGAGTTATGAGGGAGGAGTGGGGAGCTTCCAGAGGAGTTATGAGGGAGGAGTGAGAAGCTTCCAGAGGAGTTATGAGGGAGGAGTGGGGAGCTTTTAGAGGAGTTATGAGGGAGGAGTGGGGAGCTTTTAGAGGAGTTATGAGGGAGGAATGGGGAGCTTTTAGAGGAGTTATGAGGGAGGAGTGGGGAGCTTTTAGAGGAGTTATGAGGGAGGAGTGGGGAGCTTCCAGAGGAGTTATGAGGGAGGAGTGGGGAGCTTTTAGAGGAGTTATGAGGGAGGAGTGGGGAGCTTCCAGAGGAGTTATGAGGGAGGAGTGAGAAGCTTCCAGAGGAGTTATGAGGGAGGAGTGGGGAGCTTTTAGAGGAGTTATGAGGGAGGAGTGGGGAGCTTTTAGAGGAGTTATGAGGGAGGAGTGGGGAGCTTCCAGAGGAGTTATGAGGGAGGAGTGGGGAGCTTTTAGAGGAGTTATGAGGGAGGAGTGGGGAGCTTCCAGAGGAGTTATGAGGGAGGAGTGAGAAGCTTCCAGAGGAGTTATGAGGGAGGAGTGGGGAGCTTTTAGAGGAGTTATGAGGGAGGAGTGGGGAGCTTTTAGAGGAGTTATGAGGGAGGAATGGGGAGCTTTTAGAGGAGTTATGAGGGAGGAGTGGGGAGCTTTTAGAGGAGTTATGAGGGAGGAGTGGGGAGCTTCCAGAGGAGTTATGAGGGAGGAGTGGGGAGCTTTTAGAGGAGTTATGAGGGAGGAGTGGGGAGCTTCCAGAGGAGTTATGAGCGAGGAGCTTCCAGAGGAGTTATGAGGGAGGACTGAGGAGCTTCCAGAGGAGTTATGAGGGAGGACTGAGGAGCTTCCAGAGGAGTTATGAGGGAGGACTGAGGAGCTTCCAGAGGAGTTATGAGGGAGGAGTGAGGAGCTTCCAGAGGAGTTATGAGGGAGGACTGAGGAGCTTCCAGAGGAGTTATGAGGGAGGACTGAGGAGCTTCCAGAGGAGTTATGAGGGAGGACTGAGGAGCTTCCAGAGGAGTTATGAGGGAGGAGTGAGGAGCTTCCAGAGGAGTTATGAGGGAGGACTGAGGAGCTTCCAGAGGAGTTATGAGGGAGGACTGAGGAGCTTCCAGAGGAGTTATGAGGGAGGACTGAGGAGCTTCCAGAGGAGTTATGAGGGAGGACTGTGGAGCTTCCAGAGGAGTTATGAGCGAGGACATGGGTAGCTATCCGGCTTGCTGCACTCCTCCCACTCCTCCTCTCACAGCACATCTCAAAGCCGAGTGTCACGAAACCCTCGTCCTCGGGCTAAAGTGGCTTATGCATTAGACTTAGAAATAAATGATTTTATCAATCTCAGTGGAAATGTCAATTTTCGTTTTTTCACTGTAAATTATACAATGACTTGTTCTTTTCACATCCAAAAACTGTAAATTTAACGGTATTGTAAAATTACATTAAATGTATGGTTAGATCTATTACAGTTATTCTCCGTGTAGTTTTCCACCGTAGCTCCTAACCCTAACCTAGTCTTTCACCGTTAAAATCACAATGCTTTTTTAGTAAAAATTATTCATTCATACTCATTCATATTAAAAATTAAATCTTGTTAAAGCAACACCAAGTAACTTTTCCTCAGCGGTCGCCCTACAGGTTGGAAGCAGAATTGTCCATTAAGGCCATTGCACACTGAGTCCGATGCGTATTTATTAAACCTTTGCGGGAAAAAACGCACAAAAATACAAAATGGATTCGTCAAGCAGTAAGGATGATTTTGTTACCCTCTCTCTTATTGAAATGAGAATAGAGAGATAATTTTGGGTCCATCCAATCCTGAAATTGCGCCGAGAGGAAGGAGAGTTCCGCTTCCTTATCAAGGAGTTGCGAATTTATCCCGAGCCGAGCGATTCAAAATTTACTTCAGAATGTCAGTGGAACAGTTTGATGCTTTGCCACATATTAAAAAGAAGACCACCAATTTCTGTGAACCAATCGATCCTGAACAGAGACTGGCAGTATGTCTAAGCAGATGGACACACACACACACACACACGGGCACACGGGCACACGCGCGGCCCGGTGGAAGCAGACAGAACAGCTGTATAGGCTACAGGTTATATGCCTATATTGTACCCAAATAATACATTAGTTATCGAATTGGCTGCTCAATCACACCTTAATCGATCCGAAATTTCGATCTGATTGAAAGGGGAGGTTTATTCCTTTTCTAATCCGATCGAGAGAACATGTAAACACTTGATCGAATTGAAAACCGAAACTGAAAGGACTGCGCATGTGCAATGATGTGCGGAACGAGCTCCCCCAGCCCTGAATTGTCAAAAAACCTCTCAAAATGCTGGCTGTGGATGCGAAAAACGCAAAAAAAAAAGTTTCGGAGGCGGTGTGCAAGCGTGATTGACATAACTTGAGGTTGAATTTTTTTTTTAACGTGCGAAAATTCCGGATGCAAATTTCGGACTCAGTGTGCAATGGCCTTTACTGCTGTCGTAAATAATTTAGCCTACCGCAGCCTACGGTCGCACGCGCACGCTCGCTGTTTATCCAGCGCCGGCTTTGGAATCAACAATGGCAGACATCCCAACCTGCAAGAAGTCATTTCAGGGAGGTATATCTTGGTGACTGGATTGTTGACGGGGGGGGGGGGCGGGTTGACTAGCTTTCGTGAGGCACACTGGCAAGGTCTCTCGCTCTCTCCCTCTCTGCCGTGCTCGCGCAGTGTGTTCTGTCCCGCATGCGCGCTCTAGATTCCGGGAGATTTGAACTAATTTGCGGGCATCAGGGAGACGCTATCAATATGCAGGAGACTCCCAGGCCACAGACAATTTGAGGAAGTGGTGGGGGAAGTGACGTATGCCGTAAAGCAGTCGAGTTTTGTAGTTCTTTTTGTGCTCGGGTTACTACCCGAAACCCGAAGTTACATAGTGCAAGTAAAAGCAATACAGACCACGCCAAGCTATGGCAGACGTGTCATTTAACCTATTGTAAGTCGATGTACCATCACAAGGGTCTTGGAAATATATTATGAAGGTTGAAAACTAGTGTTACTTTAAACATGTGGTGTATAAGAAAAAGAAAAAATATGGGTATGATTATTTTGATTATTCTTGTATGTTTTTTTGTATGATTAATCCTTTCAAACATATTATTCTTGAATTGATCCATTTATGCTTTTTGTCTATTGTATCTTTTAATATCATATACTCATAGTCATACTCATATTCATGTGTTCTATTCAGTCCAGACATTTAGTTTACTTCTACTCTGACAAATGTACGTCTATTCGTGGGCTAGACATGATAGGCTCTCTGTGTTTTCCGTTTTCTGCTCAGTGTGGTGTCTTGTTTAGTTTCACAGAGATGGTTATCTTACCTGGAATTCAGGTACAGCTGTATTTGCTCACGGTCTAGACATGATGGAAATACGTATTTGGCAATTTCTGCGTCTTAGTAGTTCACACAGAAAAACGGTAAAGGCGCGTGCAGTGGGATGGGGGAACGAAGGTCTCGAGACGCGTCTTTTAAAAGTTGAACTTATTTTAACTTGAGTGCCGCCGCTGCCGCGTATTTAGAACGTCGTGTCGCGCGAGACGCTGCAAAAGACGCGAGACTTGTACATTGACAAATAAAGCGTGATTTTCCGCTACAGGATGAGAGCGAGAATGATTAATTACAAAAACGATTATTTATTTTATTATTTTATTTTGGTTATTTTTTCAGTAACTGTTGGTAGTTTCATTTAGTTTTAGTTTTCCATTTATGTTGAAACGTCCAATTTATTTCAGTTTACGAAAATATTTTTTGAATAATAGTCTTAGTTTCAGTTTCAGTTTTTGTTTATGAAAGTAACCTTGGTACTAAACTGCAGTGAAGCAAACCGAGCCAAAGTCGAGTCGTGACACCATTTCAACCATACTGGTTTAACCTACCAAATCAGCGATGGGCTCTTTTATTTATTCAGACTTATTCCGCCATTGTATTCGCCATATGTTTATTTGATTATTGTGATGTCAAATGCTGTTGAACACCCACAAGTCCTGATTCTGCTTTAATTGGCCTATAATTTATTGCACTTTTGCCTGTTTTAGCTCTTGAGTATTTTAGAAGACATTTGTCAGATTTTATGACATAGGCTAAACACAAATTTAGTTCATATTTAGTTTTTTTCATTATAATTATTTTTAAAATGGCTTTGCTGCAGTAAATTGCGGCGTCTGCATCTGAAATAGTTCCACTGGTGAATGTGTTTCAATTTTCATTCTTAATACTTCTCATAATTTTTAAGTTTAATTTTTAGGATACATTTTCGTATTATAAGACTGTAATTCTTGGACAACAGTGGGTAAAACAAAATAAACAATCATATGTCCAGACCAGCTTGTTTCTGTTGATGCATGAGCGCACTGAGGAGAACAGCCGAGTGTGGGAGGGGCTACACGCCACGCCCATCACTCTCATACCACGCCCATAGCGCGAGCGGCGCCAGTCTGTGGGCGGGGCTTCAGTCGGAGTCCTTCACTTCGCTGCAGGTCAGCTGTGTGTGTGTGTGTGTGTGTGTGTGGGGAGAGAGAGCACTGACTGCACGGTAAGCTGTTATTTTGTCTAGTTACTTAACTTCATGGTTTTAACTGTGCATGCCTCGCTTACAAAGCAGTCTCGCGGGATTATCAGCTCAAAGTCTGATGTTTTAAAGGGAAAGTTGCGCATCAACGCCTATTGAAACTAATGTTTCACACTCACGCCTGGAATCTCTTGTGTTTTGAGTGTTCTCTCGTTAAACAACTCAAAACCGTCGACAAAGCAGAACATTTATCAATAAAAACTGTAAGAGTGAATGCCTGGACTTGTCTTGTGAATCATTGATGAGATTTCAACAAGTCAAACAATCCTGCAGGAATTTGCACAAGATCGCCGGAGTCTCATCGAGTCCTGAAGGATCGAGTCTAACACAAAGCCTGGGTTTGTGTGTTTGTGTGTTTGTAGGCCTACGAGTAACGAGTTCTGATGAACATTACAACATCTAATGGAAGTTTGTGAACTTGTGAACTTTAATTTGAAGAATTCTAGTTTATCTGGTGCAATCTTGTTCTTCAATGATGTTTCGGGTGAAACTGAAGCTTGTTTGACAGCTACTCAACACTATCAGGACAGTCACATTACTCGCACATTAAACCATTCAGAATAAATCATTAACAGGCTACACTATTCTTCAGTTCTAGTGTTGTGGTTCTTATTCAAATACTAAAAGTTTGCTTGCGTTAGCCTTGCCTAAATCAACTATTATTGATCCTTATTATAATAATCAGTATAATATCGAATATATAATGTAGCAGCACATAAACAGAAACACTACGGAAGCTGTGTAGTGATGTTGGCATCAGAAACCACAACTATGCGTTTCATAATTAATCAAAATCACACAATCTTGCTGTCCTGAATATTAGCACTGAATGGATCGTAATGCAACTGTTCTGACATTCAGAACAACAAGACTGTGTGAGTGTTATATTACTTTAATACAACAGTTCAATGGAGGTAATATTAAGAAACTGACATTTTAGAAACAATGGGTCTCATGCATTAATAATTGCGTGTATTTGTACGCACAGGAGAACTTCTCACGACAATCCTACGCCTTTCGTACGCACATGAATTTGTAAACCTCGTTCTGATGTTAGTGAATGAGTGTTGTAAATGAGCGGACACGTGTACAAGGTTAGCCATTTGCATAAAACACGCTCAAACATCTCCATATAATAGTACAGTCATTTTATGAAAAAAGGTTGAACAAATTGCAACAGAAGCAAACTCAACTGATTTTGTATCCTCAATATGTCCTGAGTAAGGAAAAAAAAGCCCCAAAGAATCCCATTAGGGGAAGACCCAAATATATCCCATTCATACGCCTATTCATTCTCTTTCTCACATGAAAAGGGTAAAAATTTTAACCTTTAGATATCATCATGAAAATCACTGAGTTGATTACTTACATCAAGACAAACAACAAAATGTATTACAAGTTTTTTTTAAATTGTTTGTTAACATGGACAAGCGGTGCATAATATAATTACATATGTGCTCATTTGCATAATTACCCAAACAGATCTAAACATTGGGTATAGCAGGTGAAAATGTTTTTTTTTTTTATCTTGTTGACATATAATAGTAAAAGACTTAATGTTAAGGTCTGAATGGAACCCATTTAGGCTACCCATGAACATTAATACAGGAAGAAGTACTTTAGAAACCAGCCTTTATTAATTATTATTGCAGAGATTGGGTTTGGGCATTGAGTGCATTGTGTATGTAACTAGATTTTTTGATCCAGACACTTTTTTCACCTACCTTTTGTCTTCTGCATTCTCCTTACCCATGTCTCCTGTTCTTCCCTCAGACTCATCCCCCAGAAACAGCCCCACTGACCCAGCCCCACTGACCCAGCCCCACTGACCCAGCCCCACTGACCCAGCCCCACTGACCCAGCCCCACTGACCCGGACCCACTGACCCGGACCCACTGACCCGGACCCACTGACCCAGCCCCACTGACCCAGCCCCACTGACCCGGACCCACTGACCCAGCCCCACTGACCCAGCCCCACTGACCCAGCCCCACTGACCCGGACCCACTGACCCGGACCCACTGACCCGGACCCACTGACCCGGACCCACTGACCCAGCCCCACTGACCCAGCCCCACTGACCCGGACCCACTGACCCAGCCCCACTGACCCAGCCCCACTGACCCGGACCCACTTACCCCTTTTCCACCAAAAACGAACTGGTTCGGAACTGGTGCTGGTTCAAAGTTGGTTCGGAGTTGGTTCAACTTGCGAACCTTCTCAGAACCTGTTTGTTTTTCCACTGACTAGAGCGCCCAGCGAACGACGTCGTTACGTCACTGTGTACGTCGCCATACATCTTAGCTAGAAACGCTTGCAAGTACAACATTACTTTGGGATTATCTCTAACTCGTGAACCAAGAAGGCTTTAAAAACAATTGAAATATGTAAGTCTTTTAATCTTTTCCTTTGATATGTAATCTTGATATGTAATCTTGTTATATGTAGTCTTGTCTTTTTTCCCCCCATTTATTTGTTCTATATTGTGACTGTTTTCTCCTTTGTTTACATAACGTTTTCAATAAAAAAAAACCTAAAAAAAAAACTAGAAACGCTTGCGCCAACTTCAAGCATAACAATTACAATGGCGGACTACATCGTGTTTCTGCAAATGTTTCTCCTGGCTTTGCGATCCTATATGTCAGAAAATATGTTATCTAAACCCGCCCCCAGCCCCCGACGTAAGCATGACGTGGTAAAAGAATGGTTCTAGTCCAGCAAAGAGTTGGTGCCGCTTTGGAACCAGTTTTCCTGGCCGAGAACCGGTTCTTTGGCTGTCGAAACACAAAGAACTGGTTCGCGCGCAGGCACCGGCTCCGAACCGGCTCTCAAAATGCGTTGGTGGAAAAGGGGTAACTGACCCAGACCCAGCAACTGACCCAGCCACTGACCCAGCCCCACTGACCGAGCCCCACTGACCCAGCCCCACTGACCCGGACCCACTGATCCAGCCCCACTGACCCAGCCCCACTGACCCGGACCCACTGACCCAGCCCCACTGACCCAGCCCCACTGACCCAGCCTCACTGACCGAGCCCCACTGACCGAGCCCCACTGACCCAGCCCCACTGACCCAGCCCCACTGACCGAGCCCCACTGACCGAGCCCCACTGACCCAGCCCCACTGACCCGGACCCACTGACCCAGCCCCACTGACCGAGCCCCACTGACCGAGCCCCACTGACCCAGCCCCACTGACCCAGCCCCACTGACCGAGCCCCACTGACCGAGCCCCACTGACCCAGCCCCACTGACCCGGACCCACTGACCCGGACCCACTGACCCAGCCCCACTGACCCAGCCCCACTGACCCGGACCCACTGACCCGGACCCACTGACCCGGACCCACTGACCCAGCCCCACTGACCCAGCCCCACTGACCCGGACCCACTTACCCCTTTTCCACCAAAAACGAACTGGTTCGGAACTGGTGCTGGTTCAAAGTTGGTTCGGAGTTGGTTCAACTTGCGAACCTTCTCAGAACCTGTTTGTTTTTCCACTGACTAGAGCGCCCAGCGAACGACGTCGTTACGTCACTGTGTACGTCGCCATACATCTTAGCTAGAAACGCTTGCAAGTACAACATTACTTTGGGATTATCTCTAACTCGTGAACCAAGAAGGCTTTAAAAACAATTGAAATATGTAAGTCTTTTAATCTTTTCCTTTGATATGTAATCTTGATATGTAATCTTGTTATATGTAGTCTTGTCTTTTTTCCCCCCATTTATTTGTTCTATATTGTGACTGTTTTCTCCTTTGTTTACATAACGTTTTCAATAAAAAAAAAACAAAAAAAAAAACTAGAAACGCTTGCGCCAACTTCAAGCATAACAATTACAATGGCGGACTACATCGTGTTTCTGCAAATGTTTCTCCTGGCTTTGCGATCCTATATGTCAGAAAATATGTTATCTAAACCCGCCCCCAGCCCCCGACGTAAGCATGACGTGGTAAAAGAATGGTTCTAGTCCAGCAAAGAGTTGGTGCCGCTTTGGAACCAGTTTTCCTGGCCGAGAACCGGTTCTTTGGCTGTCGAAACACAAAGAACTGGTTCGCGCGCAGGCACCGGCTCCGAACCGGCTCTCAAAATGCGTTGGTGGAAAAGGGGTAACTGACCCAGACCCAGCAACTGACCCAGCCACTGACCCAGCCCCACTGACCGAGCCCCACTGACCCAGCCCCACTGACCCGGACCCACTGATCCAGCCCCACTGACCCAGCCCCACTGACCCGGACCCACTGACCCAGCCCCACTGACCCAGCCCCACTGACCCAGCCTCACTGACCGAGCCCCACTGACCGAGCCCCACTGACCCAGCCCCACTGACCCAGCCCCACTGACCGAGCCCCACTGACCGAGCCCCACTGACCCAGCCCCACTGACCCGGACCCACTGACCCAGCCCCACTGACCCAGCCCCACTGACCCAGCCCCACTGACCCAGCCCCACAGACCCAGCCCCACAGACCCAGCCCCACTGACCCAGCCCCACAGACCCAGCCCCACAGACCCAGCCCCACAGACCAAGCCCCACTGACCCAGCCCCACTGACCCAGCCCCACAGACCCAGCCCCACTGACCCAGCCCCACTGACCCAGCCCCACAGACCCAGCCCCACTGACCCAGCCCCACTGACCCAGCCCCACAGACCAAGCCCCACTGACCCAGCCCCACTGACCCAGCCCCACTGACCCAGCCCCACTGACCCAGCCCCACTGACCCAGACCCACAGACCCAGCCCCACAGACCCAGCCCCACTGACCCAGCCCCACTGACCCAGCCCCACTGACCCAGCCCCACAGACCCAGCCCCACAGACCGAGCCCCACTGACCCAGCCCCACTGACCCAGCCCCACTGACCCGGACCCACTGACCCGGACCCACTGACCCAGCCCCACTGACCCAGCCCCACTGACCCAGCCCCACTGACCGAGCCCCACTGACCGAGCCCCACTGACCGAGCCCCACTGACCGAGCCCCACTGACCGAGCCCCACTGACCCAGCCCCACTGACCCAGCCCCACAGACCCAGCCCCACTGACCGAGCCCCACTGACCCAGCCCCACTGACCCAGCCCCACAGACCCAGCCCCACAGACCCAGCCCCACAGACCCAGCCCCACTGACCCAGCCCCACTGACCCAGCCCCACAGACCCAGCCCCACAGACCCAGCCCCACTGACCCAGCCCCACAGACCAAGCCCCACAGACCCAGCCCCACAGACCCAGCCCCACAGACCCAGCCCCACTGACCCAGCCCCACTGACCCAGCCCCACAGACCAAGCCCCACAGACCCAGCCCCACAGACCCAGCCCCACAGACCCAGCCCCACAGACCCAGCCCCACTGACCCAGCCCCACAGACCCAGCCCCACTGACCCAGCCCCACTGACCCAGCCCCAAACCCCATCTCTGCCATAATAATTAATAAAGGCTGGTTTCTAAAGTACCTCTTCCTGCATTAATGTTCATGGGTAGCCTAAATGGGTTCCATTCAGACCTTAATATTAAATAGTTTACTGTTATATGTCAACAAAATTCAACAAGACATTTTCACCTGCTATACCCAATGTTTAGATCTGTTTGGGTATTTATGCAAATTAGCACATATGTAATTATATTATGCACCATTTGTCCATGTTAACAAACAATTGCAAAAAACTTGTAATACATTTTGTTATTTGTCTTGATGTAAGTAATCAACTCAGTGATTTTCATGATGATATCTAAAGGTTAAACCTTTTACTCTTTTCATGTGAGAAAGAGAATGAATAGGCGTATGAATGGGATATATTTGGGTCTTTTTCTAAACTTTCCCCTAATGGGATTCTTCTGGGCTTTTTTCAGGACATATTGAGGATACAAAATCAGTTGAGTTTGCTTCTGTTGCAATTTGTTCAAGGTTGACCCCCATTTTGGCTTAAAATGACTGGAGTATAAGGGCTTTCCGCTCACTCCTCAAGCCTGACGTCCTCGAGTAAAGACAAGTGTGCCATTCTCTCCAGTGCTCACAATACACATCTCTACACTGACCCGTGTAAATTCTGTGTAACAGTCGTTAGCCGCTGTACACACACACGTTAATCTGCGTTGTTCAGAGAAACCTCACGGCTGAACCTATTAGCAGCCTTTCTTACTCTTTAACTGTGGTATAGGCCTATGATGGAAGGTATTTAAGATGAAAGTAAATTTTATTATTATTTTATTATATAATTTTATATATGGATTATAATACAATTATTGCAACATCAATATAATGGTAGTCGTGTTAGGGTGAAATATAACTTCTTAACACGATTATAAGGCCGTACAAAGTGCTTTTTGCGTGCGTGTGGTTTCAGTTGTTCCTATAATTTTTCGTAAATTTAGAATTAATTTTATTATGAAATTTTTGGCGAATCGTGATTTGTTCTTAAAATCGTCCGTACTCACATTTCACGCATGCTTAGTGAATGAGATATTGCCAGTTAACCTGTTAATTTGTGTGTTTTTGTTCTGCCAATGTAATTCTCCGTTACGCGTGTCTGAGAAACACAGCAGTGCTGCTTCATTCTGAATTGAATTGGTTGAGTGAATTACTCAATGGCTCACTTATAAAGATCCTGAATAAATCACTGCATTTGAATGAATCAGCTGAATGAATGATTCAATCACCGCTCATAAATCATTTGTTTCTGAACTGAATGGCTGAATGAATGACCCAGTTCCCACCGCACGGACAGACAGCCACAGACACGGCGCTGTGTTTTGCCGAATATCCCTGTCGGAACTTGTTTTCACCGATTGAATTTGGTGACTGTCAGCGTTGGCCTATAAAGACACTGTTTGCCATAAGAATGTAGTCTGCAGAAAGAGTCATTAAAGTCCCTGTGGTGTAAATCCAGCGTTTAATGTTGTTTATGTGTCTATGTGGTGTTTAATACGCTTTAAGACACACCATGTGTAAGTTCATAAGTCGACAGCATTGCTGAGTATTTTATGCTTAAAACTGCAGTGAACCAAAGACAGTCTCAAAAACACGGTTTGAAATCGCTGGTGTTTCTGACGTCACAAACGACCTTGTAACCAATCAGATCAACGTGTGATCGTCAACCAGTGGATCTCTGAGCTGAGTGAGTGAGTGGAGGCGGGGCTCATTTGCATATTCTTAGAACCACGCATACTAAATGAGCCGATAGATGAGTTTTAAGGGATGAAATTATTGAATACAGGGGGACTTTAATAACAACCCACCTCTAACAAACATAGACAAGCAGAGTTATACTATTACATCTGCCATTATCGGTTTACTGATGGTAGCTTTTGGATCAATCAGTTATAAAGAAAAATCAATAGCAATAGACGGTTTGTGTGATTGTAAACAGCGATGATGTATTTCGTGGGCAGAAAGTGACAGTTCTGCAGAATAACTTGGATATTGATTTGTTACCGACTAGAAGAAATCGGGTGTATTTCGTGGACATACATGTTTTACGTGTTTTTTAATAAATCCTTATTCTGTAATGACTGTAAAGTGTGGGAACCCAACCGCAACTGTATCCTGTGATGTGTTTAACGCAGTGTTCTCTGCCTTTGCTCCTCAAGCCCGCAGATGAGCATCAGTGATCTGTGATCTCCTTCAGATGAGCATCAGTGATCTGTGATCTCCGTCAGATGAGCATCAGTGATCTGTGATCTCCGTCAGATGAGCATCAGTGATCTGTGATCTCCGTCAGATGAGCTTCAGTGATCTGTGATCTCCTTCAGATGAGCATCAGTGATCTGTGATCTCCTTCAGATGAGCATCAGTGATCTGTGATCTCCGTCAGATGAGCATCAGTGATCTGTGATCTCCGTCAGATGAGCATCAGTGATCTGTGATCTCCGTCAGATGAGCATCAGTGATCTGTGATCTCCTTCAGATGAGCATCAGTGATCTGTGATCTCCGTCAGATGAGCTTCAGTGATCTGTGATCTCCTTCAGATGAGCATCAGTGATCTGTGATCTCCTTCAGATGAGCATCAGTGATCTGTGATCTCCTTCAGATGAGCATCAGTGATCTCCGTCAGATGAGCATCAGTGATCTGTGATCTCCGTCAGATGAGCTTCAGTGATCTGTGATCTCCTTCAGATGAGCTTCAGTGATCTGTGATCTCCTTCAGATGAGCATCAGTGATCTGTGATCTCCATCAGTATGTGGTGTTTCTCGTCATCTACGAGGCTCTCGTCTCTTCGCAGGAGCATCGGCATCCCACACACATGTGCAGCGCTCAAACAAACCCCCGTCCGTCAGCACAGGTCCAGCAGTACGACAGTGGAGAAGAGCACCGAGTCCTACAGTTATGTGATCGTCGGAGCTGGGTCTGCCGGCTGTGTTCTGGCCAACCGTCTGTCGGAGAACCCGTCGGAGTCGGTGCTGCTTCTGGAAGCCGGACCCAAAGACAAGCATCTGGGAAGCACTCGCCTGTCCTGGAAGATCCACATGCCCGCCGCTCTGACCTATAACCTCTGTGACGACAGCTACAACTGGTTTTACCACACACTGCCTCAGGCACACATGGAGGACAGGGTGATGTACTGGCCCCGGGGTCGGGTTTGGGGCGGCTCGTCCTCGCTCAATGCCATGGTGTACATCCGGGGCAACGCCGAGGACTATAACCGCTGGCAGCGCGAGGGCGCCGAGGGCTGGGACTACGACCACTGCCTGCCGTACTTCCGGAAGGCTCAGACTCACGAGCTCGGGCCGGACCGGTACCGGGGAGGAGACGGCCCACTGCATGTGACCCGAGGGAAGACGGATCACCCTCTACACCACGCGTTCATCTCAGCGGGCCAGCAGGCCGGATACCCCTTCACCGAGGACATGAACGGCTTCCAGCAGGAGGGAGTGGGCTGGATGGACATGACCATACACAGAGGTAAACTTCAGGACCTGGGAATTAGTTCACCCAAAAAAAGTCATTTACTCACCCTCACGTGTTCCAAACCTTCCCAAACACAAAGACTTTATGATTGTGTGTATATTTGACCATTCAGGTGCAATAAGCCGCGATCGAGAACTGATTTCTTGATTGCATGCTGTGCGGATCGGGTGTCTGTCAGTCAGCGCACGAGTCAATCGTTGAATTCGTTTTTCATGCCTTATTGTGCTTAAAGGGATAGTTCACGCCAAAATGAAAATTCTGTCAGTAATTACTCACCCTCATGTTGTGCCAACCCCGCAAGACTTTAGTTAATCATCGGGACACAAATTAAGATATTTTTGATTAAATCTGAGAGCTGGATCACTCCTCCATAGGCTTCTAAGGGATTGAAACCTGCCGGCCCAGAAAAGTTAAAGACATCGTTAAAATAGTCGGAGTGACTACAGTGGCTCTATCTTTAAGTTTATCAAGCGACGAGAATTTTGTGCGCAAAAAACAAACAAAAAAAACGACTTTATTCAACTCTTCATGTTCTTCTCTTTGGGCCTCGAGATAGTTCACGTAGTGTAACAGCGCAGCGCTTTTGTGTTGTACGTCACACGTAGGCTCACTATTTGCCGACGCTGGTCATGTGTGTGATGCGTGTAATGTACAACCTAGAAGCGCTGCGCTGTTACACTACGTGAACTATCTCGAGGCCCAAAGAGAAGAACATGAAGAGTTGAATAAAGTCGTTATTTTTGTTTGTTTTTTACGCACAAAATTCTCGTCGCAAAAATGACTCATGACCTGAGGAATAACTCATGACCTGAGGAATAACTCATGACCTGAGGAATAACTCATGACCTGAGGAATAACTCATGATCTGAGGAATAACTCATGACTCATGATCTGAGGAATAACTCATGACTCATGATCTGAGGAATAACTCATGACTCATGATCTGAGGAATAACTCATGACTCATGATCTGAGGAATAACTCATGACTCATGATCTGAGGAATAACTCATGACTCATGATCTGAGGAATAACTCATGACTCATGATCTGAGGAATAACTCATGACTCATGACCTGAGGAATAACTCATGACTCATGATCTGAGGAATAACTCATGACTCATGATCTGAGGAATAACTCATGACTCATGATCTGAGGAATAACTCATGACTCATGATCTGAGGAATAACTCATGACTCATGATCTGAGGAATAACTCATGACTCATGATCTGAGGAATAACTCATGACCTGAGGAATGACTCATGACCTGAGGAATAACTCATGACCTGAGGAACAACTCATGACCTGAGGAATGACTCATGATCTGAGGAATAACTCATGACCTGTGGAATAACTCATGACCTGAGGAATAACTCATGATCTGAGGAATAACTCATGACTCATGATCTGAGGAATAACTCATGACTCATGACCTGAGGAATAACTCATGACCTGAGGAATAACTCATGACCTGAGGAATAAGGAATAACTCATGACCTGAGGAATAACTCATGATCTGAGGAATAAGGAATAACTCATGACCTGAGGAATAACTCATGACTCATGACCTGAGGAATAACTCATGATCTGAGGAATAACTCATGACCTGAGGAATAAGGAATAACTCATGACCTGAGGAATAAGGAATAACTCATGACCTGAGGAATAACTCATGACTCATGATCTGAGGAATAACTCATGACTCATGATCTGAGGAATAACTCATGACTCATGACCTGAGGAATAACTCATGACCTGAGGAATAACTCATGACCTGAGGAATAAGGAATAACTCATGACCTGAGGAATAACTCATGACCTGAGGAATAAGGAATAACTCATGACCTGAGGAATAACTCATGATCTGAGGAATAACTCATGACCTGAGGAATAACTCATGACCTGAGGAATAAGGAATAACTCATGACTCATGATCTGAGGAATAACTCATGACCTGAGGAATAACTCATGACCTGAGGAATAAGGAATAACTCATGACCTGAGGAATAACTCATGATCTGAGGAATAACTCATGATCTGAGGAATAACTCATGACCTGAGGAATAACTCATGACCTGAGGAATAACTCATGATCTGAGGAATAACTCATCTGAGGAATAACTCATGACCTGAGGAATAACTCATGATCTGAGGAATAACTCATGACCTGAGGAATAACTCATGATCTGAGGAATAACTCATGACTCATGATCTGAGGAATAACTCATGACTCATGATCTGAGGAATAACTCATGACTCATGATCTGAGGAATAACTCATAACTCATGATCTGAGGAATAACTCATGACCTGAGGAATAACTCATGACTCATGATCTGAGGAATAACTCATGACTCATGATCTGAGGAATAACTCATGACCTGAGGAATAACTCATGACTCATGATCTGAGGAATAACTCATGACTCATGATCTGAGGAATAACTCATGACCTGAGGAATAACTCATGACTCATGATCTGAGGAATAACTCATGATCTGAGGAATAACTCATGATCTGAGGAATAACTCATGATCTGAGGAATAACTCATGATCTGAGGAATAACTCATGACCTGAGGAATAACTCATGACCTGAGGAATAACTCATGACTCATGATCTGAGGAATAACTCATGACCTGAGGAATAACTCATGACCTGAGGAATAACTCATGACCTGAGGAATGACTCATGATCTGAGGAATAACTCATGACTCATGACCTGAGGAATAACTCTTGTCTGTAGTAGTTTAACCCCTTTAATGTATGAATGATTCGCCAATCATTATTACATTTTCTGGTCTTTAGAGACCCGGATCTATATCTGACACGATTGGATCTCTAACTGCCGCAATTGTATAAAACTATCCTGATATTTTAATAACAATTACAAAAGAACAAAAAAAAACATGTTTCGTTTCTTTTTGGAACTTGGAAGGGTTGAATATCACATCATCATAATGTATCAGACATCGCAACCTTGATCGCCAGAATTAATTATTGTGGCGCAGAAAAAATATACTTACACTATTACATTCCTCGGGTCACTAGCGACCCTATACACTTTTTACAAAAAAATTAATTACATAACAGACATTCTTTTATTGTTTATAGTGAATAAATTGAGCAATATTAAGAAGGTCATTGTTTAAGTGTAAACTTGAATGAGGACGAGGGTAGTGAATGAGTTTAAGGGTTAATACTTGGCATGAGTATGAGCGCTTGCTTTGTGCTAGTCTGATGAACCTCCTCTGTTGTCCTGGCACAGGTAAGCGATGGAGCACAGCTAGCGCTTATCTGCGGCCCGCGCTGGCCAGACCCAACCTGAGCACAGAGGTGCGCTGCATGGTGACCCGAGTCCTGTTCGACGGGACCCGCGCGCGAGGGGTCGAGTACCAGCAGAACGGACACACCAAACAGGTGAGAAACATGTCCAATTATCTTTTCACACTGCACTCATGTTCCTGTCCGGCTTCAGTCTGTGTGTCGCTTAGTAGAGCTGGGTAAAGAATATCGATTTCTTGATTCTTTTTTTTAATCGATTCTCATTTTACGATCCCGTATACATTCTTAAGTCCCAAGAATCGTTCTTATAGTCTGTGCTGTTTTCAGTTAAACGCTACAAAGTTTTGTTCATTACTTTGTAGCGTTGCCTCCCATTCAATAAATCCTAGTTATCTTTGTGCTTTGTTACTTCAGATATGAAACAAACACTTTCAAATTCTGCATCTGAATCAGTCAGTAAATGTGTTTGTGTATTCTGATATTAAAAAGTGCCTTATGTGCAGTTTAATGTTTGTACAACTCAGTTTTAGTAGACATTATTTAGCGCACTTTAGTTGCATATGTGAGTGATTTACAGGTATTGTAGAAGGTTGATATGGATGGGTTTGGTTTTAAGTAGTAAAGTCTTGTGTTTGAAGTGTTGAGCTGTATCACTTGTTACCTTTAAAATCATCATGAAAGTGAAGTTGAGCTGGTCTTTTCTCCTCTATTGTGTCGTATATCGAGTGAAACGCTTCAGGAACAAGAACAAATGTGGGCGGGGCTTGATTGTGTCTGTGGGGAATTGATTGGATGGTTGTGGTTTGCTATTGGCTGATCTCATGTGAGTGACAGGTTGCCCCGCCCTCATCATCAGAGAAGAGAAGAGATGCTGTAAGAGGGAGTTATTCTGATTCAAGATTATTAAAACTATAATGATGATGTGCACCCTTAAATCATTTACGATATGCAATATTCCCAAAAAAAGAACTGTACAATTTGATTTAATGGTGAATTTAAACTTGTTTAAATATTCCAAACAGGTGTTCTTTCCGCTGCCCAGTCTTGCCATGATTTTGTTTGCTGTTTCTACTCCATCGAGCCTCCAGAAAGCCCTCAAACGAGGCTGTGGATAGTCAAGGCATCTGTAATGAAGGACCCTCAGTAGACGGCATGTTTGATCTGCACACTGCAGTGCTGGACGAAGTACACTAATCAAACACTTGAGTAAAAGTACAGACACCCTATTCAAATATTACTCCAGCCAACATTACTTGAGTAAAAGTATTTTTTGATTGATTTTTAATGAACTTTCATTATCAGCAGTTATATGATTAGTGCAGATAAGCAAACCTTTTATTCTTAACCAAAACTTGTTGTACATTATACTTTTTAATTTTACAGCAGATTTAGTTCACAAATAACTGATGTAATTATGAGTTTCATTTACTATAATCAATGCTAATATTTGGCATTGATAACTTACTTTTCACCCCATTTAAGATCCGACAATATCCCGGTTGGTTTTGACCGGATCATTGAATCAGTGAGTCGCTGACTCCAGGCCAGCTGCAATCCGATCAGTGCGATTCATCAATGACTCGTTCAGTTTAAGTTTCAGTTAAATGTATTGGAGTAAAAAGTACGATATTATGCTTTGTAATGTAGTGATGTAAAAGTTTCCCAAAAGAAAAACATTCAGATAAAGTATAGATATTTGAAAAATGTACTTTAGTACAGTAACTGCTTTGTTACTGTCCACCACTGGTGTTCTGGCTGTGAACGCAGCATTTTCTTGGATAATTCAGTTCACTTTTAGCACCTGCAGAATCAGACTTATCTCGTGACTGAGAGAACACTTCCGCCGGTTGTTAATCTGTGATGTGATTAATCTGATCAACCTACATAAGTCACCGTTGCGGTTTTGGGTCTTTTTTCCCATCCGCTCTGGAAATGACTGACTGCTGATAAGCGATTGTGTTGACGTCGGTTCCTCTTCCTGTGGCTTATCTTCAGTCATCACTCTTTCACTTGATTATTGGAACTTGATTGTAAGACTTGATTATTGTAACTCTTTATATAAGGGTATTAGTCAAGCTTCTATTCTACGGCTGCAAAAGGTCCATAATGCGGCTGCGAGATTATTATTGAATATTAAGAAACGAGAACACATCACTCCATCTTTGATCGCTCTACATTGGCTTCCGGTACAATATAGAATTGATTTTAAACTTCTTTTATTGGTGTATAAATCACTCCATGACCTTACACCGACTTATTTATCAGCTCTGTTAATGGAGTATCAATCAGGAAGAACCTTGAGATCATCAACTCAAAAGTTGCTGAAAATTGCACGGACTAAGTTAAGACAGAAAGGGGATCGGGCTTTTGCAGTAGTGTATGTTTCTCTTTCTATTCTTCAGTGAGAATGTAAAGCACATTGGTCAACTTGTGTTGTTTTAATAGTGCCATATAAATAAAGGTGACATTGACATTGACATTTCACTCTCGCTCATTAAAGTCAAGTGAGTGGTTTGTTGAGGTGTGAGCGGCAACCTTCCTCTCTCTCTTGAATCCAACACTGAAGTGACTAAAACTGCAGTTCATCCACTGGCCACTAGAGACCGGCTGCAGAAGAGACTCAATCCCATAAACCCCCATGTTAAAATGCTCAACTTTACAGCAGAAAAAAACATGTTTACAGCCTGGTGCTAAAAGTGGCTATTAAGCTTTAAAGTTCTGTATTATTAAGGGCGTGGCCACTTGAGTGACAGGTGGATTGCCGCTGATGTCACTGCTAGCCGTCTGTCTGTTAGCGTCACGTCACCTCAGCTAATCCGCCTCGCACATCTTCGTTTATCCGGGAGTGATGCTGCCAAGATGGCGACGGCCGGCTCCGCCCACTTTGGGCTTCAAAAACGCTTCTCAGAAACACTCAGGGGTGACTCACGGACACTACGCTCATACGCTTTTACAGTCTATGGTTGAGGCGTGAGCGTTTCTCATGTTTGCTTCAGGTGTTTGCTGATAAGGAGGTCATTCTCAGCGGCGGAGCCATAAACTCTCCACAGCTCCTCCTGCTGTCTGGAGTGGGAAACGCAGATGAGCTTCGCAAACACGATATTCCGGTGACACAGCATCTCCCAGGTGACCTCATTCCCTCCTCTAATCTCCCCTCTCCACAGATCACACTTTATGCTCCAAATGTGAGTCCATGCTGGCTTTGGGGGAGTTTTTGGGCGTGACCTCCACTGATGTTGGGATTGTAGATGAGTTTATGGCCTTGTGGTGTGTGTCCAGGTGTGGGCTGTAATCTTCAGGACCATCTGGAGCTGTACGTGCAGCATCGCTGTACTCAACCCATCACGCTCTACAGAGCCCAGAAGCCCCTCCACATGCTGAAGATCGGCCTGGAGTGGCTGCTCAAATTCACAGGTAAATCTGAACATCCCATATTTGTGTCATATCAAGTGTTGGGAAAAGTTACTTTGAAAAGTAATGCATTACAATATTGCATTACTCACTTTAAAAGTAACTAATTGTTTTACTTAGGGTGTATTCACACCTGCCTTGTTTGGTTCGATTGAATCGAACTCTAGTTCGTTTCCCCCCTTGGTGCGGACATTTTGGGTAGGTGTGAATACAGCAATCGAACTCGGGTGCGGACCAAACAACCGAACCGAGACCCAGCTGAAGAGGTGGTCTTGGTACGGTTCCAAAGGAACTCTGGTACGGTTTGTTTACGGTGTGAACATGAACCGACCCAATTGCAAGAGAGCACTGCGCCTTTGAGTTAACAGGCTTCCGTAGTCGGAGATTTTGGCATAATGGTTTGTGTTGTTGTTCAAGTGCGAAAGAGAATTCCATTCCGGCGCGCTGTCTGGCCACACGCTACTGTTGCGCGTCTTTCTGCGCGTCGTGTGTGTGCATCATTGGAATGGAATGAATAAATGAGTGTGTGCATCAGGACATTCACATACAGCGCGTTCTCTTTAGTCTAATCGTGCATAGATGCAAAAAAAGCTTTTGCAGTTCATATAATGTAACGATAGTTACAATACAAGGATGATGCTGCGTTAAACTGGACAAACTTAAATCGCAAGCGTTAACATTGACAGCACTTGTTAGCAGTATATACAATAAGAATCTCATTATTTGAATGTGTGAACATAGCCCCTCTCTATGAATGAAAACTTTATACCTTATCCGTCTTCTGCGCAGTTTCTTCATATTGCGTTTGTACAGAATAACACAAAATTAGTAAAATAACAAATATTGCAGTACGAAATATCTCCATGCTGAGCCTTTTTTGCACTTCCTGATTTCCCTACTTGAGAATCCTTGACCTTAGCACACGTGTGGTTTTGTTGACAAATTTTGTTTCACTTGCAAAAAGAGCAGTGTGAAAGCGAACCGTACCAAAAATATATATATATATATTTGGTCCGGACCAAAGCAAGTGAACTATCGGACTTTCCTGGTGTGAATACACCCTTAGTTACTTTTTAGAAAAGTAATGCATTGTTACTTTTGCGTTTCTTTTCCACCTGGGCTGGGATTGTTGTTTTTTTTATAACAAAAAAGTTATATTTTTGGGAAATGTAAAGACCCTTTCACACCTAAAAGTGAGATAATAATCCTCAGGCTGAAGGAAATGCAGATTCACTCCTGTACAGTAGTGTACAGTAGAGGAACAGTAGTGTACAGTAGAGGAACAGTAGTGTACAGTAGAGGAACAGTAGTGTACGGCAGAGTAGTGTACAGTAGAGGAACAGTAGAGTACAGTAGAGGAACAGTAGTGTACAGTAGAGGAACAGTGATGTACAGTAGAGGAACAGTAGTGTACAGTTGAGGAACAGTGATGTACAGTAGAGTAGGGTACAGTAGTGTACGGTAGAGTACAGTAGAGTAGTGTACAGTAGAGGAACAGTAGATAACAGTAGTGTACAGTAGTGTACAGTAGAGGAACAGTAGTGTGCAGTAGAGGAACAGTGATGTACAGTAGAGGAACAGTAGTGTACAGTTGAGGAACAGTGGTGTACAGTAGAGTAGGGTACAGTAGTGTACGGTAGAGTACAGTAGAGTAGTGTACAGTAGAGGAACAGTAGTGTACAGTAGTGTACAGTAGAGGAACAATAGTGTACAGTAGAGGAACAGTAGTGTACAGTAGAGGACAGTAGAGGTACAGTAGTGTACGGTAGAGTACAGTAGAGTAGTGTACAGTAGAGGAACAGTAGAAGACAGTAGTGTACAGTAGAGGAACAGTAGTGTACAGTTGAGGAACAGTGGTGTACAGTAGAGTAGGGTACAGTAGTGTACGGTAGAGTACAGTAGAGTAGTGTACAGTAGAGGAACAGTAGTGTACAGCAGTGTACAGTAGAGGAACAGTAGTGTACAGTAGAGGAACAGTGGAGCACAGTAGAGGAACAGTAGTGTACAGTAGAGTGCAGTACAGTAGTGTACAGTAGAGTGCAGTACAGTAGTGTACAGTAGAGTACAGTAGAGGTACAGTGGAGTACAGTAGAGTACAGTAGAGGAACAGCTCAAACAAATCTTTCAGCTGCTGTTCTGGATTAAAGAACAATAGGATGCAGGAGAAGAAAGTTTAATACTTTATCAATAAAAACAAAAAAATCTATAGTCATTTTTGCTTGGTTTAACTGAATCATCGAAGGTCAGAAGCAAGTTCATTGGTCAATAAAGTGAGATTAAATGCATAAAAATGTATGTTTTATTTAACATATTTAGTTATTGGAAGTTTGGATAGTATTCTGATTCTGATTTCGAGGAATATTGAATCTTTTTTTTGTGCAAGTGAGATGAGTAAATGCTCACATTTAGTCCAGAACTACAATAACCATCACACACACACACACACACTTCGAATGGTCTCAACATGTGGACAGGAGAGCTGTCAGTCAATACATGTGAAACGGTAACTTGCGTTTCTTATTAGAAAAAGTAACTCGGATATTTTGTTGTAAATTTTAAAAGTAATGCTTACTTTACTAGTTAGTTACTTGAACAAGTAATCTGATTACATAACTCCAGTTACTTGTAATGATTTACCCCAACACTCACCCTAACAAAAGAGACATTCTATTACCATAATACAATCTTCCCATTACTGAGATTAAATTGAGTTTATTTCTGAAAGCTTTTATAAATGGGTCACTTTATATTAGGTGTAAGGATTCAGGGCGGATCTAATCCGTGGGGAATTTGCATAAATTAATTAATAATTGGTAATTAATAATTATTCATACATGTTTGGATTAGATCAATCTTACATTGAATTTACTCTCCCTCTAAGGGAGGATCTATCACTTTACCTGCATGCATACGTGTATCCTTGCATTTTAACTACAAGTTGATTGCATAGATCACGTTTTACAGACAGGTAAAATTTAATTAGCTCAATTGTCAGATTAATATTGGGGGAATCCCACATATCATCTTACTTCATAGGATTTCAGGAAACGCAATTCTCTGGCCAGAAGAACTGGGTTTTCTGCCCTATAAACACATACTCTTTAAAAGTATTTTTAATTTATAAAGCAAAGCCGTAGCTTGATCTATTCATTTCAGAGACCTGGAGTATGAGCAGACACAGTAACATCAATCAAAATGAATATAATGGATTTAATAAAGGCATGACTACTTATGTATTTACTACGGTTACATGGGATATATGTATTTACAAACACATAGACAACAATGAACAATACAATAAGACATCAATGAACGAGAAATGCATAAAGTTTGGACAATGGATAACGTACACGCGTGAGCGAGTAAGAGAGAGAGGAAAGGGGATGGGGAGAGAGAGAACAGAGAAATTGGGAGAATTTCATTGGCAGGAAGACATTCACCTCTCCGATTACAACACGGAACATCATCTTAAAACTTCTTAGAAGCTCTATAAAGAGATTTATACTTGCAATCAACGTATGTTATGGTTTCTCTCTGTGCCGAAACATTCCTGTACGGCCCTGTCTGGCCGCGTGAGCTGAGTCCTTTTGGGTGTGAGGAAGCGTCACGTGGGTTGCGTGGCGCGCGTGTTGAACGGAGGTTTACAGTCTTTGTTGTAACATTTCCAAAGGGAAATAGTTCGGCTAAGTTCGTTTCACTTCGTGGAAGTGAACTGAGTCGGCTACGGAAAACAAAACTTTGACTAACAAAAAGGGAATAAAGATCTCTACGGGGAAATCACGCGGAGTTAACGTTGCATCTTTCCATGGCTTTGAAGAAGCGTGTGTGTCTCTCGGTCCGGCGCGTCACGTGGTCACGTGCGCGTGTTTCTCCTTCAAAGAGAGCGCGCGCTCGTTTAAAGGTCCCTCGTAGATGGATTTGCTGAAGAGATATGTCACAGGGTTTTCTTTTCAATCGTCGATTGGAATTAAACACAGAGACTTATCTACAACTGAAAAACACAAACTAAACTAGAAACAAATAAAAGAAAGGCGAAGAGCTCGCCCGGAGGCGAGACGTTACATCATGACACGGCAGGAAGAGAGCGAGCGCAGAGGAGAAGCGTCATTTATCACACTATGAGAAATCCAGCCTCTTCCTGTTGGCTTGGCCAATTAGAGGGTTGGAAGTTTACAGGCGGGACTTTGGGTTTATGGCCCTTTGTCTCCAGAGAGAGACATCTGAAACCCTAATCTCGTCGGTTGTTTAAGAGAAGAATCTTCACAATTCTTATAATACTAATGTGTCACAAAGTTTAGCAAAATGTAATGTCAATTAACAAATGGGGAACGAAGATTGGAGTTTATCGAGACCAAACTTGCCACCAATGGATTTGGTTAAACATTAGTTGGCAAAGTTTGAACATTATCCAATTAAGAGTTGTCGAGAAACATAGACCAAACCACAGAAAGGCAACTCATGAAATAGGGAACTTAGATACGTCGTTCATACAATTCTCAAGTGGATATATAATAGCATATATATATGAATACAGGATTCATTTCTCCTCCTTGGTTAGAATTCAGAGAGAGAGAGAGACAGACATACTTCTCTGACATTCCTGGTGCGGTCGTAAATGCTGTTATCTAAGGCCCCAGGCTCTGACAGCATGTTAAGTTTTGGTTCTTACTGTCCCCAAAAGCTGGTGCACATAGAATCATAACTTTTACTGTAATTTCTTGTATCTGATTAATTCCGCTGGATCATGAGAATTAAAACAAGACCAAGAACGACGTATAACAATACTGGGGAATAGACAGTTAAATGTAAAAATGCATAATGATAAAGTCACAGTTATTCCAATGTGACATGGGCAAATGGACACACATAAAAACACATCAAATATATCTGGTTGAATGTCTTTTAAAGAAAAGAAGTTCCTTTGGGACCTTCCAAAAATGTCATAAAATGTCTTAATGTCTTGTAAGCGGACACCGCGCTCTGTCCTGAGTGTGGGTGTCAGC